AATAAAACTCTTAGCAAACTGAGAACGGAAAGGAACTTCCCTAACCGAAGAAAGGGTACTACAAAACAACCTACTGAGAACATTACACTTCATGGTGTATTATTGAAAGCTTTTCCCTCTGAGATAGGGAATAAGATGAGGATGTATGCTATAATCACTTCCATTCAACACTGCGGTTTCCACCAATGATAATGATACAGGGCAAGTAAACAAAATAACTGGTGTTAAGTATTGGAAAAGAAGAAACGAAACTCATTATTTATAAAGGATATGATTGCATATGTAGATAATTCTAAAGGATTTATAGGTAAACTATTAGAATGAATTACTAAATTTAGCATGGTCCCTGGCTTCAAAGCCAATATGAAGACTCAATTATATTTCTATGAATCAGCAACAACTCACAGAAAACAAAACTTTTATACTGAAACTCTTTACAGTAGCTCCACAGAACATCAAATATCTAGGAATAAGTTTAACAAAAGAGGTACAAGATCTTTTCATTGAAAACCATAAAATATTACTGATATAAATTAAAGAAGGTGTAAATATCGTAAAAGATGTCCATTTTTCCCACCTTGATCCACAGACATATGAGGTGCTCAACTCTATTAGTTCTTAGAAAATGCAACATAAAAGCACAGTAAGAAACTATAACTCACCAGAATGACCAAAATTTAAGAGATGGACAATGACCAGTGGAGCAACCAGAATATTTAAACATTGCTAGTGGGAGAATAAATTGGTAGAACTACTTTGGAACACTGTTTGGTAGTATCTACTAAAGGTGAACATGCATTGACTTAATGACCAGCAATTCCCTTCCTAGGTATGTATGTATATTTTACCAAGAGCCATGTACAAGGATATTATTAGCATTACCAATAAGAGCAAAATACTGGAAACTACTACTTTAAAAGAAAAACTTATGTAATATATTTTGAAGACAATTGGAGAATTTTGCGTATGGACTGTATGTTGGGTGAACTTGAATCAATATCAATGTTCTTAGGTGTGGAAATATGATGAGGTTGCACAGGAAAATGAGCGACTCTCGGGAGATGCATGCTGAAGTGTTTAGGGGTTAATACCACAACATTTGCAGCTTACTTCTGAATGGTTTGGTAAAAGAAAAGTGTGTGTGTGTCTATGTACATACACATAGAGATAGAACCAGTATGACAAAATGTGGACAGCTGGTGAATCTATGTGAGAAGATACATGGGTACCCATCATATTCTTTTTTAACTTTTCTAAAAACTTGGATTTTTTTCTAAAGAAAATAAAAGGAAAAATGTGTGGTATGGTAATGGCAATTAGAAAATATGTAAAATAAAACATAAAGAAAAAGGGAGTAGAAAATCCAAATGGACTTTTTATGGTTATAACCTGAAAAGAAATTGTAACAGTGGAGAAGAATATTAGTTATCTCAGTCTTTCTACAATATTGAATTAGAGGTTCTAGTTGCACAGTAATAAAAAAAGAAATTAAATAAAGATTGAACAGGAAGAAACAAAATTTTATACATAGAAAACCCAAAAGAATCTATAGTCCAATTATTTGAACTAAAGGTTTGGCCAAAATTGCTGCATAAAAGATCAATAGGCAAAAATAAAATGTGTTTCTATATCCTTGCACATAGAGGTAGAAAAGTAATTTTTTAAAGATTCCATTTATAATAGCAACAAAAATAAGTAAACAAAAAATAGATCTAATGAAAGATTTACAAGATCTTTATAGCAAAAGATTTATAAGATCTTTATAGCAACCAGTAAAGTTTCATTAAAAAACATTAGAGAAAGTCAAAATAATGGACAGATAAGCTATGTTTATAGATGGTAAGATCTGATATCATAAAGACATCCGTTTCCTTCAAAGTAATTTCTAAGTTCAGTTCAATTCGAATCAAAATCTCCAAAACGTTTTCATTGTGCTTGACAAATGGATTCTTAAAATATATATGAAAGTGCAAGAATAGCCAAGATAATTTTGAAGTTAGTGGAGTTTGTCTTGGCAGATATTAAGACTTAATATAAAGTCAATGTAATTAAGATAGTATGAAATGGTGCATGGATAGAAACAGGGGTGAATGTGACAGAATGGCAAACTATATGTGGAAGCTTGATAGTCCCACAGGAATATGAAAACTTTATACTTGCCAAGGGCAGCATTGCAAAATAATATGAAAAGGACGGGCTAGTCAATTAATCCATTACCATTAAGGAAAAAACAAAATCAGATCCCCAATCCTAGCCACACACATAAATAAATCCCAAGTGGACTAACGACTTAAACATGAAAAAAGTTTAAAACTTCTTTTAAAAAAATATAGGGGACTATCCTTATTATAAACTTCAGAGTAGAAAATGTTTTCTTAAGCAAAACACAAAAAGGACAAGGTATGGCAGAAAAAATTGACAAGTTTGACTCTCTTAACGCTAAAAATGTGTGTGAGCCCAAAGTCACCATACGGAAAGTGAAAAGATGATCCCTAATTGGGAGAGGAAATCTTCATGCAGATGGCAGTCATAAAATTAGGATAGTGATACACAAACAACCTTTGTGAAGGAGTAAGGAAAAGACAACAGTAGGACAGGCCAATTCCATGACAAGACAGTGCTCAGATGAAGCATAAAAGGCACTTATGAAAGATGATCAGTCTCATTGGTAATTAAGGAAATACAAATTAAATGTCATTGAGTTTCCATTTAATTTCCATTTTTAGCAAAAACTGAGAGTCTGATAACACCAAGTAATGGCAAAGATAAGGAGTCTGATAACACCAGAGCTGCAGCAGCCTCACTGGGCAGCATTTCACTAGGACTTGAGGTGTGTGCATCTTACCATGTTGCCATCCACTCTTGGTTACCTTCTAGAAAAACACTTGTGCAGGAGGAAGACACACAATAATGCTCCATTCAACATTTACTACAGCAAAAATTGGAAACAGTTCATTGCTCGTCAGCCAGAGAACAAATAACAGCTGACAGTACATTAGAATAATAATATATCATACACCAGTGCAAATAAATAAACCAAAGTTAAATATACAGCATGGATAAATCTCATAAACGCAAAATTGGGATGAAGACTGAGTTAATGAAAAAAGGCATATAACATAATAATGTTTATATAGAATTTAAAAATATGAAAAACACTGTAAATGGTTTATGATCCTCACATATGTTAGAAAAATACAAAAACACACATGAAAATGATAACCATCAAATTCCAGACATGCTTTTTTTTGACAAGAACAGGAAAATGTGTCTTGGGAGTTCTACCTACCTGTCTGTAGATGTAAATTATCCATCCATCCACCTCAGTCTCATAAAAAGTCCATCCACTTGCCAGCACGAGGGATGATGAGTCAGAGAAAGAGTTCATTTACCTTGCCTCTCTTGCCTTTAGAGTATAAAGCAGGTCTGCACAGGAGTCACCGGGTGGGCCTTGAGAATGACAGCGAAAGGCTGGGGCGGTAGCACAGGGTGGGGCAGGCTCTGGACATCACCCACAGCCCAGGGGCCCCTTAAACGCACTCCGCAGTGCCGGCGGTGCCCCAGAGCTGAGCAATGGGTGGCCCTGCCCATCCGCAGCCACCCCTACTTCTGCAGAGCAGATGGTGGAGGCCGAGTTTGCGGCTCCTTTGGACTGGGTGTGTGACCCAGGGCAGAGCCAAACTAACCTCTGAGGACCTCTCCAGTCTCACTGCTGTAAAAACTCCCCCGCTTTCTCCGTGGAGCGCACTCTGGTCACCTATCCGCAGCCCCACCCCTGCTGTCCTGCCTGTGCAGCCCCGGAGAGGCAGGTCAGGTAGAGGGAGCAGGGCGGCCACCCAGCCACAGAGCATGATGTGTGCAGCAGGGAGAGCACCTGAAAGGGGCGCCCCGCATGTCCAGGCCATCTTCCTCCTTGGCAGAAATTCCCCCACAGCATCTTCCGGAAGTACTCAGGGTACTTGTCTAGTGCTTCCTCCCCTCCTGTCTCACAGTGACATGCAGCCTTCCCTTTGATTTCCTTCTGCCACCACTCCACATGTTCCTCATGAAAAGATGGACCACATGCTCTGCCTCCCTCAGCCGTCTGGGATTGGCCCAAGAGGTGGGCGCACCACCCCAGCTGAGCCTCCAGGCTCCTCTAGGATTTTATACATGAATGTTAGAAAAGTGAAGAATTTCCTTTCCTGTGAAATTCCAAGCTTCAGGACGGGCCTCCAGACCTGCCAGAGGATTTTGGAGGAATGGGAGGTCAGGAGGAAATGTGGAGAGATGCAAAGAAAGGCTCTTGATCCTGTTTGTTGTACCGTGGGTCCACCAGACCCTCAGGATTATTCTGCCCTTGTCTCTCCTTCCATTGGGTCGGTATTTCCTGCTTTGCTACAACTAGGTTAAGATGAGTTTCTGTCCCTTGTCTATTAAAATGACAGGGAACTTATATCCATCATACCATTGATAAGTTTTCACAAATGCCTAGGGTACCTAACTGGTTTTCTTGGTTTCAGTGGATATGGCTGGTAATTGTAGGTCTGCTTTTGTTATGTAGCTGTATTCCTATTATGTTAACATATGTGCGCAATTTAATTAGTAGTTTAAAACCTATACATGCTTATGTTACTCTACAAGAAGATATGTCAAAGAAATAAAAAAAAAATGACAGGGAACTTATTGCTTACAAGGCAGAGCACTGTCCTGTTGTCCCTGCCTGTTATATCTTTGATTGTACGTCAAACTTTCTCTTTCTCATATCCTCAGAGAAATACAATCCAGGATATAAACAATACCCCAGACACCTTGGAATACTCAGTGGGTCTGTCGCAGAAGCCCATTCCTTGCTTCTTTCTTCCTTTGTTTTCCTTTTCTCCATCTCTTCCTTCCTCAGAAAGGCATCAAGTACCTGGCCCAGACCTGGTACTGTGTTAGGTGCCTGGAGGTAAAGGATGAATAAAACATGCTTGGTGCCCTTAAGGTTTCCTCAGCCCAGCAGAGGAAGACAGGTAAGCCACGACGAGCACCTCAGCCAGCCCCCTTGCTTGAAGTGTGTGGTTAGCACCCCATTTGATGGGAACACACAAAACAGGACTGACTCCAGAGGAGGCCACAGAAGCTGTGAGGTGGAGGGTTGTGTGCGCAGACAGGGTGCAACCCCAGGCCCACCAAAGGAGGCTGGGTCCTTAAGAGAGAGGGTGAGGGTGTGGGTTAGGTCTCTGCGACCTTCCACCCAAAGGGCACTCCCACAGTGGGGCTGCCTGGTGCGGCCTGAGCGAGGCCTCCTTGTTATTGGGGCCAACAGCTCCTGTTGTCCCCCTGCTCTGAGGATGGGCCCACTGGAGCTTTGTGTGGTGAGGAGAGAGGGTTGATGTTCTACTTTCAAGGTCAGACATGCTGGGCTTGAGACTACTGCTCCCAGCACAGAGCCCCAGCCTGCTTCTGGGGGCAAGGCTGCTGCTTAGGCCTCTGCTCTAGAAAAGCCATCAAGGCCACAAATGGGGAGGAAGTCAGAGGGGCCAGCAGGCAAGAACAGAGGGGAGGGAAATGCTTTCCAGGAGGACTTTGTTGTATGCTCATTAACCAGCCCCACAGGCATGGAGAATGGGGCCTGGTGACCAATGGTGTTTGGAGGCTACAATAAACTGTGATTTTATGGCTAGGGGTTCAGGCAGGAAATCAGAGTTTTATGTCTGATTAAATCTCAGTAACAAACCCAGAGACCCCATGGCCCTTCCTAGGTCCAAAGCAGTGAACACTCACTCACTGAGAAAGTCACCTGTTCCACCTCCTCCCAGAGAAGCACCTCTCACCTAAGCCTTCTCCTCACATGGGAGCAGGCAGGCCCAACTCAGTTTACTGTGGTTGAGGATTTTGTTTTTTGAAGAGACAAAGATACAGCAATTCTTTTGCTTAGAAAAAAATGAAAAGAATAACCTACCCCACCAAAGGGTTTATGAAAGAATGAGTCACTCCAGTATCGACTGCTTACATTATGTAACACCTTCCAGGTTTTAAAGAGTGATTGCACTCAGTCTCTTACACAGTCCCCTACCGTTCTTGAGGGAGGAATCATCACCATCATTATGCAGGAGAAGAAATTAATATTTTAAAGGTGGGGGGACTTACTGAAGGCCAGTAGGTGACTGGTTCATTCTCTTATTTGGGACTCTTTTGATGGCAAGAAGGAGAAAATTTTTTCAAACTCAAGAAGACAAGGGGCAGAAAATGTATTGGTTCATGCAACCAAACTTTGGGCTTGCTTCAGGTATAGCCAGATCCAGGAACTAGTGTTCCTCTTCATCTCTGGGTTCTGCTTTCCTCTGTGGACTTGCGTCTTAGGCAGATATCCTACACACCGTGGACTCTGGCAAACAGATTTGCATTGTTCTCAGTCAATAAATTCCACTAGAAAGAGAGTCTTTTCCCCTTTGGTTCCAATGCAAGTCACAGAACTGAGTCTTACTGGACCAAGTGCCTATTTTGAACAATCACTGGGGCCAGGGGGATGGAAAAAGCTGACTTCCCTGGCCTATGACATAGCCACTCATGAAGTTGGTGGGCTTGGCAACCTGGCATTTTGGAGTCTCCCAGTGGAAAGACTAACTCCTTACCCCATAACTGTAAGATAAATTTTAGCTCAAACAAGCAGGTGAAGAGAGGCAACAAAGGGCCAGGTGATTTATTTGAATGCCCCCCGGGCGAGGTTCCGTGGCCTTCCTGTCACAGGCCAGGGAAGTCACGTGAAAGTAGACAGGCAGCGAGTTTTTAAAGAAGGTAGAAGAAGGCAGAGCTTAGATTTACAGTGGCGCGAGGATTGGCTAGCCTAAGGCACATTTTTCAGGTTGGGAGGGGGCAGCAGCCAGGGACTTTGGCACATCGTCAGTGTCTGACGTGCCCCCCCCCCCCCCCCCCCCCCGTGCCTTCAACCTTACATTTCAGCCTTTTGGTCATAATGGGTAACGACTTGAACTGGCTATTCTTGGCTGACAAGGGGCGTCGTGGCGGGGTGGGGTTTCATAGCATGTAGTTACATTGTTCTGACTGCAAATATCTCACCCTGCCCTCTTTAGAGGCTCTCACTTCACTCCATCTAAACTTATGGTTTTTGTCTCATTTTTTTTTTCTACAGATAGAGACTCTAGCTGCTGCCAGGGAAAAGGGGCGACGACTGCTCTGGCTGCTTCATGCTGAGAAGGGATGCAGTAAAGGGTGTAGTTAGGTCTCTATCACTGGTTAGTTGAGAGGGCTTCAGAAAGTTGGTGCTTTTATTCTGGAAAGACAAATTTGATGAGATTAAGAATGCATGGCTGAATATGAGAATTAGAAATATGAAGAGTTTGAGAATTACAACTAGGTATTATGGGGAAACTAAAATTTTGGATTGAGTTTACATTTTAATGACTAGTATTTTGATTTAGTATAGATAAGACTGCATTATTGAAACAATACTTTTCTCTAAAATCACCCTTGTTTTTATTAGAAGTAGCTAGATTAAGAAAATAATTAACACTTGGCTTTATTATTTGCATAAGTGCAGCAAGAAGAGTAATTGATTCCATAGGCTCTTTTAAATGTGCTTTGCTAGAACTTTTTGTAAGGAATTTCAGATTGAACTTTTAAAGGCCTCTCAAGGCCAGAAAGCCAATCCAGACTTGCCATTAGGTTTTGCCTGCAGTGCCTGTAGATTTGGGTGAATTTCTCTCTTCTCGAGGTCTCCAAGACATCTTGAGGTTCCTGCACCTGCCAGGAAGTGACCTTCCTTACTCACCTGGTAAGGCTGCTGGGAACCCTGTAAGCAAGGTACCAGGCCAGTTCTTCCAAGGGGCTGTGTTGGCTTTATATAGTCAACTTTAGTTCCTTAAAGCTGTTCATATCCGAGTTTGTGCATGTGTCTCTCAGGTATGATGTTCCAGTCAAAGCCTTGGTAATATAACCAGTGTTTTTAATTGGTCCTCTTACAAGGAAAGCAGATTCTTGTTGAATTTGTGCAAATAAACATACTGCCATGAAATATAAAAATTGTTACTGAGATTTTTTAAATTCTGGAGAGATCGGGTAGAGAGAAAGATAAAGTTTCAATTCTGTTTATAAAGGCAGTCATTTACTAAACTGTTGTCAGCTTAAGAGAAAAAGCTTAAAACACTTTATCAACAACATTTGAAACAAAAAGTCACCAAATTATCTTCCTTAGTTTACTTAATCTTATGTGAGTATAGATGACAAAAGACTTACAAATGACAATGGTTAAAGATCTGATGAGAGCTTACTGTAAGACAGTTGACATAAGGAAATTTGGATATTTCTGTAACACAAAATATTTAGTAACAAAGTTTAGCATCATTCCCTTTGATAGTGCCTTCCAGGTAATTAAGCAGGTAATTATATATCAGGTAAATAAGCCAAATTAGCCAAATATTTTCCTCAATGAGGAGAAAAAATTCTGACATGTTCCAGGGGCCCTGTGGAAAATATTAGAGTGAACTAGAGGTAAAAGTACCTTTTTGAATTTGATTTTTCTTTTTGGTACTTGCTTAAATAGGATTATAGGTTGCCATGAAGAAATACTTATCTATTTAACTAGAATGACAACAAAATAACTCAAAGGTAAATAAAGAAGGTTGCACAGTTGTTAGCAAAGTTTAGCTTTTAGTCCTTTTAATATTTAGATCTCATTTTTAAAAATATTCTGACAATTCATTGAGACTTTAAGCATGAGAAACTGCTTTGATAAAACAGAGAACTCATTGTAGTTTTTAAATATTAAGAGCAGATTAACAGTTAAGAAAATTTTGTCTTTTTAACTGAAAATAAAATTTTAATTTTGCTGTGTACTTGATACTGAGATTTATTTGCTACACTTATTTAGTTTACTTATTTTTTAACTATGCTAGGTTATTTACAAGACCTTTACTGAATATTAGACAAAGCCAAGCCTTTAGGCATTTATTCTTAAAAGATTTAGCAGATAACATCAACTTAAATGACACTAGGTAAACTTAGGCAGCTGATAACAAGGACATGCTTGCCTCAGTCAAATTCAAATTAGCATTAATGCTTAACATTTTTTATCAGATTTCCTGGAAGTTTTAGAATGCCTAATTTTCACAAGCGCTTGTTTTTAAATCAGTTTGTATTACTACTATGCGGAGGTAGGAAAATATTTTTCATTTACACACCTAGACACACAAACATACAAACTGAGACACAACAACTATAGTCAGCAACACTTTCTACATAAAAAACATATACACAGATAGACAAACTGATATAAAGACTTGAGTTACTGATATCTAATTGCTTTGTTTTTCTTCAGCTTCTTGTTTGTGGCTTCTGGAACTAGAGGGCGGGAGGAGCGTGTTCTGGTGGAGGAAGAGGGCAGTGAAGGCGGAAGGAGAGGGGGAGGGGGTGGTGCAGCCACGGAAAGAGGAGAGCAGGACAAAGGCATGGTTGAGAATGTAGGACTTTAAGATGGAGGTGACACGTGTGAAAACAAAGGACTTAGAGATGGTGGTGGAGAGATGGGGAGAGGATTGCGAGCTGAGGGAGGTGGGTGACTAAGGTTTTCTGGCGGATCTGAAAAGGAAGGACTGGGCAGAGTAAGAAGCTGACAATATTTAACTGGAGATTGGGCCAGTAGAACCTGAGTTATTTAATGTTTACATAAAGGTTTGGGCAGGGGTGCAAAGTCCAAAAAGGCTGCACATATGGGATTTCACTCTACTCTCCGCTCTAGTGGCAATAATTAATCAAGGTGGTGAGGAGGCTAAAATTGAAAGTTCCCTCAAGGGGCCAGTGTGATTGGTTGTCCAAGGGATACTGAGGCCAGGCCTCAGAGCAAAGAAAGACTAGCTTCCGTTTGGGAACTTCCCGGGACAAATATACAGTAGCCAAATTAGAAATGAGACACTGCAACAGGGTCTGGGCCTCCGCTTTTGAGGGCTGGTTCCCCATGTCTGTGTCACCCCCAACTAATCCCGCTGAGAGTAGCGCCCAGCGTTCCAAGTGCACCAAGTCAGAGGAGATGGCCTGGGAGCCTGGGTGAGGGGTGTCTCCCCCACCACAGGGCCAGGGGCGAGTATCCTGGATACTCACAATGGATGGGCTGAATACCCAAGACCTGAAGGTACGCACGATTTCTAACGGACCAGGTGAAACAGAGTTAGGAAGGGAAGCAGACCAGGGGAAACTGAGGGACTCACCAGAAAATAGTCCATGCAGCAGAGAGCAGGCTGAGGTCCTGGATCAGGGAAGGAGGGGGTGGAGCCGCTGGTGGCTGGTTGGGGCCCCGCACTCACACTACTTCCCCCGGGTTTCGGCACCAAATGTAAGATAAATTTTAGCTCAAACAAGCAGGTGAAGAGAGGCAACAAAGGGCCAGGTAATTTATTTGAATACCCCCCCGGGCAAGGTTCCATGGCCTTCCTATCACAGGCCAGGGAAGTCACGTGAAAGTAGACAGGCAGCGAGTTTTTAAAGAAGGTAGAAGAAGGCAGAGCTTAGATTTACAGCGGCAAGAGGATTGGCTAGCCTAAGGCACATTTTTCAGGTTGGGAGGGGGCAGCAGCCGGGGACTTTGGCACATCATCAGTGTCTGACGTGCTCACCCCTCCCCCCAGTGCCTTCAACCTTACGATAACAATGAGACCAAGTTCACTAGTCATTATGTTATTTGTACAGCTCCCCATCAGCTGTTATTTTATCCTAAAAAATGAGTGAGTCCCTGGGGAGAAATGAGAGGAAAACTTGTGAGAAAGTGTACAGTAAAAAATGCTAAAACTGACTCTAAAGGGAACTAGTTCAGGTACTAAGCAGTTTTCAAAACTTCTGCAGAATGCTTTGAGGAGATGTTGCAGCCAAGAAAATCACAAACTGCTATGTAGAGAACACCGAAGAGCTCTTGAAAACTGAAAGGATGGCTGCGAAATTAAAAATTCAATTAAATGTTAAAACACAAAGTCAGGGAAATCTTCCAAAAGGTAAGGGAAAAAGACAAAGAGATGGAAAATGTGAAAAAAATAAGAGACATGAAGGATCGATCCAGGAGGCACAATGTCTGACTAACAGGAGTTCCAGAAAAAACAAAGAATTTCCCAGAGCTAGGGACACAAGTATTTAGATGGAAATGGTCTACAGAATGCCCAACATAATGTGTGGAAGGAGATCCACACACATCGTAGTGAAATTTCTGGACATCAAGTATAAAGAGTAAATCTTGGAAACTTCTAGAAACAAAGAAAGGTTGCTATCAAAGGAATGAAACTCAGACTGGTATCAGAAACACTGGGCATTTGAGAAAAAATGGAGCAAAGCTTTAAAATTGTGAGAGAAAACTATTTTCAAACTAGAATTCTATGTCCAAGTGGTGAATAGAGTTGGATAGAGTCTGAGGTAAGAAAAAAAGGAAGTTGCTTGAGGATGTGCTGCAGCAAACAGTCCTCTTTCTTGCAGCAAATAAAGAAAGAGAAAAACATGCCACACAACCTGTGAAACTGATTAAGGAAGGTTCCAGGATTCCAGGTACAAGAATGGGCCTGGAGAGCAACTTGTCCAGTTGAAAAGAAGGAAGTGGAGGATTCCAAGAGAAAGATACCTGGGAAAATAGAGATTTGGAAGATTTTACATATTCAGAGAATTTGGTACCACAGAAAAGGGTATGACAAATAATCAGTGCACAGTAAAAAAGAAGGCAGTGAACCATATAAGAACTTAAGGAATATAAAACCCTTAAAAGGTTTAATATTGATAGAAAAAAGGAGAGCCCAGAACCAGACTGCCTGGCCTTGCAAACTTCAGCTCTGGAACTTATCAGCTGTGCAATCTTACATAACTTCTCTGTGCTCAATTGACCTATCATATAATGGGGATGACGTTAACACATCATAGTGTGAAATAAAAATGAAATTTTGTGGTTCCCCATGGTGGTCTTCCAGGCCAGCCAGGGTTGGCCCCCACTGTGCTGGGAAGATGCCCTGCAGCCATTCTTGCTTGTGTCTTGACGCCCACAGCCACTCATCCCTCACTCACAGCCAGAGGAAAGTCAGCCTGGAATGCTCAAGAGAAGATAAACCTGTGTGGTTCTTGTGTTCCTAGTAGAATTCATTAGGAAAATAGGTAGCAATCCTAATTGTTGGCATAGACAACATAGATGGCATCAGAATATTCACTGTCTGCTCTTTTCCAATACTACCCTGCTCTATTAATTGACATAACCTCTTCTCTAATCCCCCTCCCATACAAAAAGCATTTACAACGGTCCCAAACAAAAGGGCTTTGGAGCAGTTTATCAGAACACACTGATGAGCTGCTCTTGGGCCATGCTCTTCAGTAAGACGCTGAGTAAACTTTATATTAAATGCAATGGTCGTGTTGAGTTCAGTCAACAGTAAGATCATTGCAAAAATTACATGACTACATGTAAAGTAATTAGCAGTCTGTCACACAGTAAAAGCTTATTAAATTTTAGCCATTATTAGTATGGGCTTTTCAGAAAGAATCTACTTGTGGATAATCCGACCTAATTGGAAAAACTGTAGTGGATATTGTGTGCATTTAATTGTAGGACAAATTGTATAAGGTCATGTTAACTACCTGAATGAACACACACACCCCAAAATGTATAAGGGTACAAACATGGTAGAAAGTTATTTCAGGATCATGTAAATTCCATAATCGTTGTTTCCTGATTGGTGTGCAACTCTCCTCTAATTGGTGATTCAGGGCTGGGTGTCTGCCATTTGTTGCCCCACAGCATTCGGTATGGGCCTCAGGCATGCAGGGTGTTCATGCCCCCAGCTGGTGGGATGGGAAGAGCAAGAAGATCATGCATGGAGGTTTTCGTGGGCCAGGCCAGCAAGCAACACACAGCCACTCTGCTCACAGGCTGTCATCTAGAGGACAGGTGCATTAATTGCAAAGGAGGCTGGGGAAGCTTCCAGCTGTGGGACGAGGCGGTGGGGGGAGAAAGAGGGAATGAACAGTTTTGGTGAACAACTCTGTCATAAAAGCATTTGTGGTGTCAGAACAGAATGTCAACGCTATAAACTTGGACAAAGTAAATAATAATAGTATTCAGAGTAAAGAAGGATGGTGGGGACATTATTAAGAGTGCTAATTTCCTCCTCTTAGCAGGGCATCACTCTACTCTGCTTCAGTTTAAAACATGGAGTTTTAAAAGGGTTATAATAATTCTAACCTAATTTTTTCATGCTCTGTTTTTCCCCTTAAAAGAAACTATTAAACTAATATGGAGAAAAACATTTATCTGAAGGTCAGAAATTCATTTAGTATCAACTCCATTTCTTTTACCTCTGTTAAATTCAAGTAAAATTATCCATGAGTATATGAATGGGTAAAGAAGATATGGTACATATACACAATGGAATGTTATTCAGCCATAAGAAGAAAACAAATCCTACCATTTCCAACAACATGGATGGAGCTAGAGGGTATTATGCTCAGTGAAATAAACCAGATGGAGAAAGACAAGTACCAAATGATTTCATTCATCTGTGGAGTATAAGAACAAAGAAAAACTGAAGGAACAAAACAGCAGCAGACTTACAAAACCCAAGAATGGACTAACAGTTACCACAGGGAAAGGGACTGGGGAGGATGGGTGGGAAGGGATGGAGAAGAGGATTGAGGGGTATTATGACTGGTACACATGGTGTGTGTGGAGGGCACAGAGAAACCTGTATAGCACAGAGAAGACAAGCAGTGACTCTATACCATCTTACTACACTGATGGACAGTGACTGTAATGGGGTATGTGGTGGGGACTTGATAATGGGGGGAATCTAGTAACCACAGTGTTGCTCATGTAACTGTATATTAATGATACAAAAAAAATTCGAGTAAAATTTGGTATGTAAACAACAATTTTAATGCATGCATATTTTGATCTCAAAGCCTACTTTGCACTTCCCAGAGCCTAGAAGTACTGGCTCTGACCTGCAACCCCAGAAAAGCTCAAGTGAGATCCCACTACCAGCATGAAAATTGCTTAGCCGTTCCTTGACTGGACGATGCTCTGGGCCCCCACTTCCAAGGCCTCTCCATCAGCCTCTGTGGTGTGGACTTGAAGGAGGCTTAGGAAGTTGTAGTTTCCAAGGACAGCACCCCTGGTCTCTGCCTGGCACATCACAGTGCTCTGGGTTCCTCTGACCTGGGGAAGAAACAGAGACTCTGAGAAGGAGATGTTGGGCAGGGAGGACCCAGCCCTCTGTCTACTCAGATCCACCAGGGATATGGGGCCAGATTTAGGGGGTTGCTGGAATTTGTAAATTGGATTCTCTTCTCAAAATTGCAGAAATGCTGGGAGGTTGCACTTTCCAGGGCAGGAAGTGATACCTGCAATAGAAAAAAGAACAAGGGAATTACTGTAAGCAGCAAGTTCCAGAGGATTTGCCCCTTATAAGTGCTTTGCAAAGCAACTGTAGTGCTACCTTCAGCCCCCTCCACCTGCAGAAGAACTCAAAATTGCTGCTGATGAAATAACCTGGCTGAGGCCTCCCAGAGGCCTGCAGTCCAGCAGGTTCCCATGGACCCTGTTTCCAGGAATTATTGATAGTCACTGTATCAGTTTCCCGATTGCTCTCCTGGAATGGTATGTCTGTTGTGAACTGCATGAATCCTCTATCTACCACAGCCCCCAGAGAGACTCTGCATCACAGAGCTCACCCTAACCCACCCCTCTCTACCACCTCCCAGCCTTGGGACTCTTTCCTGGTTGGCAACTCCTCCAGCAGGGGAACAGGTCTGTAGCCAAACCATGTGCTCACCCAGCTCTATGGACATCTCTACCCCTTGAGAACCTTGATTGTCATTCATTCACATCATTCATTTGGCAAATATTTATTGAGGACTAAGCACTATGCTATGGTCTAGGGACACAGCAGTGAATGGAAGCAGCAGCTCCTGCCTATTCAGAACTGATATTCTAACCAGGACAGGGTTTACTAACTTCTGCACTATTGACATTTGTGATTGGACAATCTTTTGGTGGAGGTGAGGGTTGTCCTGCGCCTTGTAGGATTTTAGGTAGCATCTCACCTTTTTATCAATTAGATACCAGTAGCAACCCCCCCTATCCCAATGGAGACAACCAATGCTGTTTCCAGGCATTACCAAATGACCCCTAGAGGACGAAATTGTTCCCAGTTGAAAACCACTGAATTGGGGACACACACACACACACACACACACCTCCAACAATGTTTACCATGAAACTCACCATAGTGAGGGTCTTAGACAAGCTTGGGGTCCAGTGTTTGCCATTAGGACCCCAGCTACCCAGAGCTAACATTATTTTGTTGCTCGTCACTATCTATAGATTACCAAACTTATTCCTTACAACATGACAACTCAAACATTAACCATCCTCCTTCCATATTTCAGATGAGGAAACTGCAGCTTAAAAGAAGTTAAGCAACTAGCCACA